CATTTGCCAATTGTCAAGGCAGTGATCAGGTACCCAGGCAATTGGTTCTTTTAGTTCTTTTAGATCCAGAGACAATGAACACGCCAGTCAGTAAGATTTTAAGCTTTATTGTTAACTCTAGCAAACAGTTTTAAACAGGAATATAAGAATTAGCAGATAGAATTAAACAGAAATACATAAGCATAGTATATATCATGTATTTATGATTTATGATTTTAATTTGATGTAAGCCGCCCAGAGTCCCCCATTATGGGGAGATGGGCGGGGACAAGTCTATTAAATAAATAAATAAAATATAAGCATAACGTGCCAATCAAGTTGATAAAACTCTTCCCCTACTGTTGGGAGCGGCCATAAGGCAACAGCGGAGAGACCCCAAGATGGCTTAGATAACGCAGCGCCTAGTCCCAAGGCCTGGATCCACGCTCCCAATCCCAGGGGCAATGCCAGGGCTTTTTATCCAAGTCTGGCACTGCAATCCCATGACTCCGTTTTGGAGTCAGGGGCTTGAAAGTGACCTTGACCAGATGTGATACCTGCTCATCATGTGAATCAAGAGCCTGGGAACTGTATAGATAAGCTAGTGCTTAACCTAAACAATCCTGAGTGTTTCTCTCCCCCCCCCATTTCTAAGTAAAAGTGAAAAAAAAGCCAGCTAAATTATTATGACTCAGAGTGAACTTTCTTAACATGCAGGAGAAATCAAACTGTCACCTAAACTCCTTGAAATAACAATGGTCTTCCGCATTGCCACTATACATCCTCAAGTTACCAACCACCCTCAGTGCTGGGAACCCCCACTGGGTCCCCATGCAAGTTGGCAAAGCCAGGTCTTGATGCCCTATCAGAAGGCCAATGGAGTGGGGGCCAATCTCACTTCAAGGGGCAAGATATTCCAGAGGGCAGGAGCCATGGCAGAAAACACTCTCCTCCTGGACCCCGCCAGTCAGAACTCTCTGGGTGATGGGGTCCATAACATACCCTTTCTGCTGGACCGAGTGGGATGGGTCAATGTAATGGGGACAGTTCCTCAAGTAACCTAGTGTTATGCTTGAACTTTTGCTAAGGGATTGAGTGAGATTGCATGAATGTATGTATAAAACATAAATATATAAGGTTCCAACAGAAAGTTTGCTTATGAGGAAGTAATAATTTGGAATTCAATGGTATTTATTTCAGTAGACAGTGATGGCTACAGTAAATATGCTGATGGAAGTAATAGAATCCTATGCATCCTATTTCCAAAGTTGGCCCATCAAAGTAAATGTGTTTCTTTACTGTTATTTTCTAAGGCTGCATTCCTATACAAATCTATCTGGGTAAGATTTATTTATCTAGATTAAAAAAAAAACTTAAGATATATTTTTACAGCAGTTGTGTAAATCAGTACTGTGAGCTTTCCACTGTGTTTAAATTTAGTGCATAAAATAATAGCTAAGAGGAGTAAGTGCATTTGGTTTATTTCTGAGCATCACATACAGGATCACACGACATAAAAGCAGGAAATGTGTGCATGTGGCACTTCTGGAAAAAGCTCAAATGTTTAACATTTTAAAAAGTAAATGAGTCATATGCTGATCTTATGCTGATCACCTATATTTCAAAAAAATACATAAGTTTCTGCATCTAGAGGGTGCTCACTTACAGAAGACTGACAGACTTTAACAGCACAGAGATAAGTGTTCACGAGTTAAAGATTAAATGATTCTAAATATTTTAATAGATTTTGTCTGACACTAGCTTAGGTTTTTCAGAGCGTGGTAAGGGTGGAAGGAGATGGATTGGATACCACATGAAGAAGAGAGATTTTGTTTGGGTGTGTGTTTTGGCTTGTTGTGGAACTGAGCAGCTTTGGCAAGGAAGTTTTTTTTTTTTGTCTACCTGCTCCGGCCTACCAAGTGCTGGGCCATTGGAACTAACTGGAGCCATCTACCATTGAAGGAGTAGAACCTCTGCAAAACAGCGCCTCCAATTCTCCAACCTTCTCAGATTGTCCAGAAAGATACCATGGTTTTAAACTACGATGGTATTAAAGTATCGATGTAACAGGACTACAAGTGGCACACTACCCTCTTCCAGGTCTTGACACATTTCATCACCCAGAGCAACCAATACCATTTCCATTCCAGATAGGCCTGAATCTGATACAAAAGGGTCTAAACAATTCACTTCTATTAGGGCGCTTTACAGTTTACTCCTCACTTCCAAAAGGAGAGGTTAGAGATTGGTTGATAATTATTACATATTGTTGGACCTAGGGAAATGGAAATGATTTGGAGGTAGTAATATATTTTTTCACAGCAGGAAATTTAGACTAAAACATATTTAGACTCTTCAAGTTTATGATTTGTGGGACCATGGTGATTATTCTATGCACCTTATTTTCCATATAGTAATGTTGGAGTAACATGAAAGAGACTGTGGTGCATTGGTTAAGGTGCAGGACTGATACTGGGGAGATCCTTTCAGCTCTTATCTATCCCACAGGATTGTTATGGGGAAAAATGGGAGGAGGGACCACTGTGTATGACACCGTGTGCTCCTGCAGGAAAGGCAGGATTTGAATCTAATAAATAAGTAAACATATTAGCTGTATTTACATGACTCCCTGAAGCACAAACTAGCAAATCACATTTAATCTACTATGCAAACTCATACCATGTGGTCAGTTAATAAGGTGCAGTTTGCTGTAGGAACCAAGAAGATTAGATATTGAGTAAGTCATAATTATTAACCAGCCAATTTGGAATCATACATTGACCATAATCTGGCTGGTTTAGTTTCTGAATTAAAATATTCAGTGAGCACATTGTAGTTTGTAAAACAAACTTCTTGACTTTAATCAATTGTAATTTATTAACCACAGTGTGGGTAAACAAGCCATAAATTGACATATGTAAACCCATCCATTAAAATGAATGGCAGAAAGTGTCTATTAAAATATAAGGGCCACACCAAATCGCCTGAGGCAATCATACTTTATTGCATAAAGCATTTGGCAGAATTCAGACAACTTCACTGTGCCATAAAACATGGCTTACTAACTACAGTGGCTGAGTTCAATACATTAACTTAAACCATAATGCAGCATAGGGCAATATATAAACCTAACTGAATTTCCAGATGACTAGAATACAGTTAAGGCTAGATAACCCATGCATTTCTTTCTCGTTTACTTAGCCAAGGTTGATATCAAAAAGCTGAGCAAGGTTAGATCACGCAGTACTTGGAGGGGAGATCAAGGGAAATCCGGGTCTATAAGCTCAACTGGGAACTAAAGGAAAAGGGGGGGAAAGTTCGGAAGAAAGCAATACCGGCCAATGTTGTCGTCAGGAATCCAGCCTGACTCTTCCATCGTTTATTTCGAAATTGCGCTGAAGGGTGCCCGGGGCATTGCCACCGTTGTAAATCTGCCTTGGCGACGGGTGAGTAAGGATGAGCTAATTTCCGATCGCGGCGTGTAACTAAAAGGAGGGATCTCAGGCTTGGATAAGTTTCAGCTTCCGGCTAAATCTTTGCTCCCGGTCCTCGTGGGGCGCTTCGCCTTGACCGCGATCGCGGACGCTTATCGACCTGTGCGGGCGACCTTGAGAAGGCAGGCTCAGCCTCCGCTCCTTCCAAGCCGCCTTACAGCAGCAGAGCCGCGGCTATGGAAAGCTGCGAAGCGGCGGGTGCCCAGGTTGGCGAGATTCCAGGTGAGAGGGGTCCGGAGGCGAGCTAGTGCCGGGGTCCCCGGGGTCTTTTTCTCCCCTCCCCGCAGCGCTCTCTTCAGAGGAACGTGCTCCCCACATGTTTGATCATCTGTAGGTCTAATGGATTTTAACTGCCTTATCCTGCGATAGAAGTTATAGGACAACACAGTTGTGTTGACTCCTGGTGACTGTCCCCACAGTTTTCTTGGCAAGGTTTTCAGAAGTGGCTTGCCATTGCCTCCTTTCCAGGGCTGAGACAGAGGGACTGGCTCAAGGTCACCAGCTGGCTTGGTGCCACAGGCAGCACTAGAACCCACGGCCTCCCGGTTTCTAGGTGGGGCCTTAACCACTACACCAAACTGTCTCTCTAGATGGCACACCTACAAAAGGCAGCCTTGGAAATGTCCTTTGCAAAGTCATACCTACTATACCTGTCTATGGGTACTTCCGTTTTTCCCCCCAAAGTATTTGGGGGAGTAAGAATCATTATGAGAGCCAGCTTGGTGTAGTGGTTAAGGCACCAGGCTAGAATCTGGGCAATGGTGAGCTGTAGTCCCACCTGAGGCACAAAACCTTAAGAAGAAGGCAAGGGCAAACCACTTCCAATGATCTTTGCAAGAAAACTACAGGGACTAATCCAGGCAGTCACCAGGAGTCAAAACTGACTCAAAGGCCCATATATATAAAAAATTTCATGATAGCCAGCTTCATCTAGTGGTTAAAGGAACTGGGCTAGAACCTGGGAGACTGTGGAGGCTGTTAAATAAAGGAATGGAAGGGACCTTAAAAAAAAACAACAACCCAGAGTAGAGAAAGATCAGCAGCAGCAGCAAAAAAAAAAAAAAAATTATGAAAATCACTAAATGATCAGTCCTACCTTAGGCACAAAACCAGCTGGGTGACCTTAGACCACTCACTCTCTTAACCCTAGGAAGAAGGCAAGGGCAAACTGCTTCTGAAAAATGTTGTCAAAAAACCTGAAGGACCTGTCCATGAATTCACCAGGAGTCAAGACAGACTCAAAGCCACCCAAAATCAGTCATTATACTTGAAGTCTGAATAAAGAAGCACTGACTTGCATTGTAAATATGCAAAATAAAGACTTTTGAGAAGATTTTATTAAAGATAAACTAACATCATCTTGATCAAGTTTTTTTCTTCTCTAACTGGTTAGTTCAGATCTAGTATGTAGTCTATTCGATGCGTTTCAAGACATAAACAGATGACTGTTTCAAAAACCTGATGTGCAATCAATCTTCCCCCATCTGATGCTCTTCAAATGTTTGGACTGAAAATTCCCAAGTTACCAGCTAGCATATGAATTCTAGAAACTGCAGTCCAACACATCTGGAGGACTCTGGATTAGGGGAGGCTAAAGTATAGCTGAATTCTCATACTCCCGATCCCATTGAAAGACAGATTTTGAATTTTAATCTCTATATGTCTGGAACTTTCTCAAGAATGCACTGTCTAGTGAGTGTGCTTTGGAAATCTGTTACACTTTTCATTACAGCTTTACCGTCATGTGAGTAGATTTAGCACATACAGTATTAGATTTCAATAGGAGCAGGATTTGTTCATAGGTTTCTGCATTCCATTGCTAGCTGATCAGTTTAAGAAATCTGTACTTGTTTGTTTCCAACTGTTAATTCTGAAGGCTGCATTTCTTTTACCATTCTAAGAGAGATTTTTGCTGCTCAGATAATGACATATCACAGGTTGCCAATGAGGAACCCAGGCGGCTGAGCAGAGAGCAGATTTTTGTCATGATATCAACAGCATCTCTCAACTTCAGTTCAATGGTTTGCTACTCGATTCTGGGACCCTTTTTTCCAAGAGAGGTAAATGGATGTATGCATTTAAAACAAAAGTCTGCAATAAGATTCTTTAATGATGAACGCTGTAGCACTTAACGTAGCAGTGGATATAACAAAGGCTCGTAGCAGTTTGCATTTCACAGAATACAAAGAACTCACATTTTGTAAACTGTTGCTAGACAAAGTGTTCTGTCTCCCTCCCCGATCTAGTACATCTTATGCAAACATGTAGAGGGAACATAATAGTTATGACATTTCAAAAAGTGGGTGCCTTTTTGAATTAGTACAACATAATTATATCATTAGTTTTTCTTTTCTATTTACTGACTCTTTATTTTTTAAAAAGCAAATAAATATGTGCAAGTCTCCCAACTGGGTATCCTTGCCCCTCAGTTGGATTCGATTCCCACTGGGTTTAATAAACCTTTTAAAAGTAGTTTCTACAAGGTTGTATACTCCCATTCTTTGAGGACCGAGCACCATTGTGCTGTTTGGTTTTTAAAGGAGAATTCAGCAACTCTCACTTCTCTTTCATGCCCAGAACTACTTGCATAATTAGGGGAACACATTATAAAATGATTGCCTCACCTCGCTTTGCTGTGACAATGTTCCTTTTAGTAGTCAAGTGTGCAGACACATACAATCACTCTGACTTTTGTAGGTATATGCAGTTATTCTCAAATTGCTAGCACACGTTAAACATTCATCTAAGCATTATACAAATGACTGAACCCATGGAGGTATGGTACAAAAAGCAGCAGAAAAGGGGTTCTTCTAATTTAATTAATTCATGCCACTTTTCAATATCTACCAATGTTTCCATACCACAGGCATTCATGCATTTAAATTTGTTTTACCTCTTCTTGCTTTATACTTGAGAAATCCTGCAGTCATTTTTCACAATACTATGAGACTTGTAGGTAGAAGGGAGTGCATAAATATAAGCATATCACAAAAGCACTAGTTGTAGGGGGGAAAATCAAGAAGGAAAAAGCATGTATATTATAAAACAGCCAGAGTTTCTTTCCTTACAGTATTGTAGTAGGACAAGTTCCATTAGGCAGTTTTGTAAAATTTGAGCCATGTAATTATTTTCTGCATGCTACAGGCTTTTGTTTTCTGAGTCTTTGCATTTGATTTTTTTTTTTAAGGCAGAAAGGAAAGGGGTTAGTAGTACAATTATTGGACTTATTTTTGGATGTTTTGCATTATTCAACTTCCTGACATCTTTGATAATGGGAAAATATGTAAGTATCATCAAAAATATCTTAATTACTAAGTAAAAATGTTATATAGCCTGATTAAAAAAAAATCATTTCACCAGTGAAATAGTTCATAATGTTCTAAACAGTCCTGAAAACAGTGTTTCTGGGAAAAGTCCAAGCTTTCTAAATGGCAGCACATGTCCATTAAAACATTGTTCAATAAATATGCACCCTTAGTACTTTGCAAAAATTGACCCTCTCAACAGGTCTGGGAAATCCAAAACCATCCCTAAATTATGCAGTAACCAAGGAATTTGGGACTATATGAGAATCCTAAATCATGACCCAAGGGCAACAGAAGGAATTATGCAATGTCAGTGGTCTGCTGTTGAATCTCTCCTAGCAGATATACGAAGGCAAAGCTTTCTAGACTATCTATCTATCTATCTATCTATCTATCTATCTATCTATCTATCTATCTATCTATCTGGTTTCTAGACTGCTCCAATCCACCAACTCTAATATACAACTCCACAATATATAATACAGATTAAAACCATATACTTAAGTTTAAAAACAACAATATATCATATTCCTATACAAACAGGAGTTATGACTAAAACATTTACGATAATAATAAAGACCAATCCATCAATGTGAAGGGCCGTCACAACAGTCTAGCCTCCATTCTCCCATGCCCCGGGCTTGGTGTAACAACCAAGTATTCACTGTTTTAAAAAAACAAGAACAAAAACAGGGAAGAGACTGATCTCACATCAGAAGAAATATTATTCCAGAGGAGGGTGGTGGTGACTGAAGAGGTACTTGAAGATGACAATCTCTAATCAATAGGACACATAGTGTTTCCATCCTGTTATATCTTATTGGGCAGGTAGATGTTAATGGGTGGTCTAGCTACCCAAGCCCTGAGTTAAGAAGGGCTTTAAAGATGACAACCACCACCCTGAATTGCACCTGGAAGCTAACTGGCATCCAGTAGTAGAAGTGTTATATGGGTGCCTTAAAATGCATCCTTAATTACTCGAGCTGCTGTATTCTGGACCAGCTGTAGCTTCCAAGCGCTCTTCAAGGGCAGCACCATGTAGAGTGTATTGCAGTAGTTCAACTGAATAGCACATTGACAGTATTATTTATTTAACCAGGGGTTAAGATGTACAATTGAATGTTATCAGTTTACTGTTGAAAAGCGTTCACATGCCAACAGATCTTTTCATCCAATAGTTTCATGTAGATGTTGAATCAGAGCAGGAAAAACAGCCCTGTAGCACCCCCCATTGAAGGTATCTGGAGCTCAATCTCTTCCCACCATCCCCACCGACTTGAACCATCCCTTCAGGAAGGAGGAGAAGCACTACAATACAGTGCTTCTTACTCCTAATCTTTGGAGACAGCTCAGTGGGATAACATAACTGATGGTATCAAAAGCCAGTGAGAGGTCAAGCAGGACCAGGAGAGTTACACTACCCCTATCCTGTCCCACCAGAGATCATGATAGGGACCCCACTTATAGACCTGTAAGTTTGTTTGGAAGTCATAGCTAGCTTGATAGTCAATATAGGCCTCCAGTTTTCTGTTTATTCCTAAAGCATATCTCCATAAGGGAGAGATCTCACCCTTCAAAACTAGCAGCTTTGATATGGCTCACAGGGGATATTCTCTAAAAAGAAAAAAGAGCATGTGGGTCTTTTGAATTACATTGTAAGCTGGAAAGCAAACTTTCCTCTTGAGATATTGCACAAAAGATAAAAGAAGGAAATAATCCATTAGATACTTTTGGTTAGAATTTCTTTACATTGCACTGTAATAATATACGTCCTTGTAGTTGTGAAAGCTGCTGCCTATTGACTTCTTCCATACTACTACTAATAATAATGATGATAATTTTAGTAATAATTTTTATAACTGGGACACTTTTCTGGCACACTCTCTGAATAATAAGTCTATTAACTGGGACAATATATTTCTGCCATATTACAGCAATATTTGGGTATGCAGTTCTACATCCACAACCCAATGCACTGCAATTAGATGAGTCTAGAGCATTTCACAGTTTTAGGGGTGATTGGGTTTAAGAGTCAAAATGGACACCTTAAGCTTTGTAGAACTGAGACTGCCACAAAAAAGCCGACTCTGGCAGTTTAAAAATTAGATAAAACGAAATATAAGCTATATATTTTATATTTTATATAAGTATAATAAAATTATATTTTATTATATCTATATCTATATCTATATATATTACATGTTATTATGTAAATATAATAAAATTAGCAAAACTATAAAACAAGAAATAATCCTAGGTACCAATCTATCTTGTCTGTATGAGAGAAACAAAAAATTCCCACATTTGAATTTTTAAGATCTGAAAATTTTGGCCCCAGCAACCCAGTGATATCATGACATTGGCCACGCCCCTTTTGATCCGCAGAGGCTCACAATTGTTTGTTTTCAAGTGCAGGCCCAAGAAAGGTGCACACTCTTACATTTCCTGTTCCACTGGATCCAGTCTGTTTCACAGCACAGTTTAAAGTCTTGGCTTTAACTTACACATTTTATATGGCTTTGGACTAGTTAATAGGAACAATTGCTGCATTATATATATATCCATCGGAACCTTAAGAACACCTCAAGAGATGCTGCTCAGAAAATATTGCTTGATAGCAAACCAGATAAACTTTGATTCTCACTGCTGCTTTCAGTTATTTTGCTATTCTAAAAAACCTTTATTATATCTTCTATGGAAAATAGTTGTTTTCACTGTTTTGACCATCTAAGCCATAGCCTTTCAAACTTTTTCAGGCAACAGAACAAGTTTTTTTTTTTTAAAGTCCCAGAACCTTTAATCAAGAAACAAAGCTGTAGCAATAGAAAATTGGCTGCGTTTGAGTGGTTATGCCTTCCATGGCACTCATTTTGTACATAGGCATAACTCCTTTTGTAGCCATTTAATGAGTACATCTTCAACATAATCTAAGAATGTCAAATGTGCCCACCAGTTCAAAAATTTTGCCTGATGTTATATTGTCTTGTATTTCCTATGAAACTCCAAGATTTTTCCATGGTGCTTCAGCAATATTGGGGCCAATTTATCCTGCTGTGAATTTAGAATTAGATGCATTGGTATGCATTTAACTTTGGGTTTTTTGGTTTTTTTTTTTTAGTATTTTATTGGCCAGTCACTGTTCCTAGATCTTTTCAATAAACTTTGGTAATCATAAGCATTATTATAGTGCTCGTCCTAGTACATAAAGTTTTATTATGTGATTTACTGTATGAACTGTTAGTAATAATAACAGTTAATTGCACTGATTTTCTTCACATTGTGAAACTAGGTTGATTCATTTATTTAAAATGTTACAAAGGAAAATGTACAAGTATACCATTTGTTTTTGAAATATAACTAGGTGCACAAAACAAGCTTTTTTTTTTTAACAATTCACAGCTGGTACAGATTGGAGCAAAGTTTATGTTTGTTACTGGAATGTTTGTCTCAGGATGTGTCACAATTCTTTTTGGGTGAGTATAGATTTCTGTTTTATACAGCAACTTTTCCTAAAAGTCCCACTGTGTTTTTGTGGCTAGTGTATTTTAGCATATGTATCTGCTTTCTTTTTTTTAACTAGACTTGCTATTTGAAAGGGAGGATTATCACTAGAGGTCATTGTCTTAGTCCCTTTGAAGAGTTTTTTTTAATATAATATTTTATTGAGATTTTAAAGATACATATTTAAAAGTTAGAAATGAAAAGGAAAA